CGATTCTAATGGCATTACTTGAGTTATAAGTAAAGAGATATTAAAATTCTTATGGATCATGATTCCTAAGACTCTTTACAATATTTATTGTCCATAACAAATTTTTCCATTATTCTTACATCTTGAGTTGTACCCTATTCTTTAGTTGAAAACATCAAATTTGAGACATTGGAGATTCTAATGGCATTACTTGAATTATAAGTAAAGATATATAAAAATTCTTATGGATCATGATTCCTAAGACACTTTACAACATTTTTTGTCCATAACAAATTTTTCCATTATTCCTATATCTTGAGTTGTACCCTAGTCTTTACTTGAAAACGTCAAATTTGAGAATTTTGAGATTCTAATGGCATTACTTCATTTATAAGTAGAGATATGTTAAAATTCTTATGGATTGCGATTAGTAAGACACTTTACAATATTTTTTGTCCATAACTAATTTTTCTATTATTCCTACATCTTGAATTGTCCCCTATTCTTTAGTTGAAAACGTCAAATTTGAGACTTTGGAGATTCTAATGGCATTACTTGAGTTATAAAGAAAGGTATGTTAAAATTCTTATGGATCATGATTCTTAAGACTCTTTACAATATTTTTTATCCATAACAAATGTTTCCATTATTCCTAAATCTTGAGTTGTACCCTATTCTTCAGTCGAAAACGTCAAATTTGAGAATTTTGAGATTCTAACGGCATTACTTGAGTTATAAGTAAAGGTATCTTAAAATTCTTATGGATCATGATTCCTAAGACACTTTACAATATTTTTTGTCCATAACAAATTTTTTCATTATTCCTACATCTTGAGTTGTAACCTATTCTTTAGTTGAAAACGTCAAATTTGAGACTTTGGCGATTCTAATGGCATTACTTGAGTTATAAGTAAAGAGATATTAAAATTCTTATGGATCATGATTCCTAAGACTCTTTACAATATTTATTGTCCATAACAAATTTTTCCATTATTCTTACATCTTGAGTTGTACCCTATTCTTTAGTTGAAAACATCAAATTTGAGACATTGGAGATTCTAATGGCATTACTTGAATTATAAGTAAAGATATATAAAAATTCTTATGGATCATGATTCCTAAGACACTTTACAACATTTTTTGTCCATAACAAATTTTTCCATTATTCCTATATCTTGAGTTGTACCCTAGTCTTTACTTGAAAACGTCAAATTTGAGAATTTTGAGATTCTTATGGCAGAAAAATTGGTACTGTTTTCAGAAGAGTAGATACTGCTAACAAAAATCTAGATACTGCTTTCTAAGGAAAAAGACTGTTAACGGAAGCCTTTACACAACTAATAGAAAACTAGATACTGTTGGCAAAAGTCTTATTATTATCAAAAGAATATTGGCAAAAGACTAGATATTGGTTATACAACCACTATTGGCAAAAGATTAAATAATTCTTATAGAAGACTAAATGCTTCTAAATTAAATACTGCTGAAAATGTCTTATTATTAGCAAAAGAATACATACTACTGGTAAAAGACTAAATTGTTGCATAACACTACATAGGTATGACAACAATTTAAATAATGCTGATAAATTTACTAAATGCTTCTAATAGAAGACTATACAGGGTAATTCTCAACCTATACGCAAAAAATTTGTAGTAAGAGATTTTCTGTTTCATAGATATCCGTGATATTTATTTTTAAATCAAGAATACATAGAACATTTTAAAATAACATCACAGCAAGTGTTCGAAGTTATTTCACATATTTTCTATACACCATTGGAAGTAGACCACCACGACCTATCCATCTTGCAGGAAACACAATATCTAGATGTCACCTTTTATATTGGATATCGTGGAAACTAAAAAAATTTTACTACAATTTTTTTCACCTATTAATCATTATTTGTCATGAGGAATAAATCCCCAAGTTTATGCGTATAGGTTGAGAATAACTCTGTATACTGTTGGCAAAACACTATACAGGATGTTTCGGTGACTTCGGTGATTCATGTAAAAAAAAAAAAATTAGTAAAAGTCTTCAAATTTCAAAGATACAGGCCATCAAAGTTAGGAAATTTTAACTCATTTTTCCAAATATCTTAAACACTATTTACAGTAAAGCGCTGAAATTTGGTACAGTATAAACCAATGTGATGTAAAATCGTTAGGCAATTTATGAGTTGGATGCTATACAGGTGTTCCTAAAGTTTGTTTGCTCAGAACTTTTTTATTCTATCATAAACCTACATTTATTTTCAATAATAGCACTAAAAAAAAGAAATCTAAGTTTTTGAACATTTCCTTTAGTATTTTTTATTACTTGTCTTGTTATTTTATGTACTTTTTTTATTATTCCTGTTAGTGTTGTCGTTTTTTTGTTTATTTTTTGTTGATTTTTAATTTATAATTTTTGGATTTTTTTATTAAACCAACTAAAACAAATTAAAAATGTGATTTAGCTAAATCTACACTTGGACATGTTGCATACATAATAGTTATGACAGCTAAGTTCGATTTTCACTTGTCATTGCCAATTCAGATTATTTATTTATTTTATTTTTTTAATGTTATTGAATTCGAAGCCTAACATTTTTGCATTTAATACGAAAACGGTGGATTTTATCAATATTCTCTAAGAGTGATAAAAGTTTCTAAACCAAATTTAGTATTAACTGCAAAAGGAAATGTAAGGTTATGATAAAATAAAAAAGTTCTGAGCAAACAAACTTTAGGAACAGCCTGTATCAAATTTCAACGCTTTACCATAAATAGTGTTTAAGATATTTAGAAAAATGTGTTAAAATTTTCTAACTTTGATGGCCTGTATCTTTGTAATTTGAGGACATGTGGTTACATTTGCTCCCCGAATCACCGAAACACCCTGTATACAGCTGACAGATGACAAAAAATTGCAAACGAACACTATATTCGACAAAATATTGAAAACGTTTCTTGAAAACTAGAAGTATATATTATAAAAATGGTATACAAGATATTTTATTGAAAACTTTTATCTGTCTCTGAAAATATTATACAGGGTGCCCATTATGTATGACTATAGTATATATCTCGGTAAATGTTGGCTTTATAAAAAAACATTTTATACAAAAGTTGTTTAACATTTTCTTTGTCATAATAAGACTGCATTCAATTGTTTTTAATTCAGAAAACAAATGAGTAACGAATAACACTTGAATTTATAGTACGATGACGTATAATTTTTCATCAGAAAATTTTTGAAATAAATGTAAAAATTGTTTATTGATAAAAATTAATCAATGGCTTTAGAACAACTTTGAAAAGAAATGTAAGGTTATGATAAAATAAAAAAGTTCTGAGCAAACAAATTTTAGGAACAGCCTGTATAGCACTGTATCCAATTTCAACGCTTTACCATAAATAGTGTTTAAGATATTTAGAAAAATGTGTTAAAATTTTCTAACTTTGATGGCCTGTATCTTTGTAATTTGAGGACATGTGGTTACATTTGTTCCCCGAATCTCCGAAACACCCTGTATATAGCTGACAGATGACAAAAAATTGCAAACGAACACTATATTCGACAAAATACTGAAAACGTTTCTTGAAAACTAGAAGTATATATTATAAAAATGGTATACAAGATATTTTATTGAAAACTTTTATCTGTCTCTGAAAATATTATACAGGGTGCCCATTATGTATGAATATAGTATATATCTCGGTAAATGTTGGCTTTATAAAAAAACATTTTATACAAAAGTTGTTTAATATTTTCTTTGTCATAATAAGACTGCATTCAATTGTTTTTAATTCAGAAAACAAATGAGTAACGAATAACACTTGAATTTATAGTACGATGACGTATAATTTTTCATCAGAAAATTTTTGAAAAAAATGTAAAAATTGTTTATTGATAAAAATTAATCAATGGCTTTAGAACAACTTTATTATTTTTCCATACATAATGGGCACTCTGTATATGTTTTAATAAAATGGTTATGTTTAATAAAAGGTTATGGTGTTTAAGCCTAGGTTGTTTGAGCCCGAGGAGCTACAAATAACACCATAAAGATGTGCAGGGTTGGGTTGCATTATTAAAAAACTGTTTGCTTTCAAACTGTCTCTGACGATATCATACATATATAAGAATATATATTATATATATATATTTTCAATTTAATTTACTTCATTATTTATAGTAAGCTTTTTAGGTAAAAAGCACTGACCGTGGATGACATTTGGCCTCGGTTGGATGTCGGAGGTGTAATTTAACCTTATTATCCCCACCATATGGGCTTATTTCCTTTTTTCTTCGACAAGTTTTTTTGTTCATTTCAACTCGATGATCCGCACAAGTATTTTCGTTTTTTTGAGGCCATCTTTTATACTCATTACCCAATTATATGTTGTTGGTTGCGGTTGAAACATGTTTTGGCTTTTTTTTAGAAATTCCAACGGGAAAAGATATTTTAAAGTGGGTCAATTTTATTTATGAAGTTGCCTCAAGAGTTAAATGTAAGGGTAGTGATAAGGATATCCTGGTTAGAGTGTAAGCAACATCGCATCAAAATCGGACCCCTTAGCATGACAGGAAGAAGTGGCAACGACGCAAGCCGAAGCATCACGACGCTCAACCATCCCTATTTAACGCCGAATTTCATCTTGGGGGTGGCCATTCATCCGGGGGTTGTCATCCCAAGACGATATCACCAAAAAATTTTTATCCACAATAAAAATTAGTTTTTATTGTACTTTTTTATCGTTGTAAAAATTTTTTTTGGGTGTGCGTGCACAAACGACGTTCGTGCAGGTAATTGCCGTTAAGAAGACGCATACGTTTGCGTGCAGGCGAGTCCCGGAGGATCCTGCGAATCGCCGATCCGGGCTCCGCCTTCGTTCCGGGAACTCCGCCTCACGCCTTCAGCTTTCAGCCGACGCCATAACACGATTGGCTCAGTTTGGTACCACGTGATCGGCCACCATCCACCTCAATGGGAAAGAAACAAAAACAAGCCGTCTCCAACAGTAACTCGAGAACATACTATGACGGTTGGCCGAAGGATGCGCGCCGATAACCAGTGAATATATAACTCTTCCATCAAAGTGAAAAAATAAAAATTCCTGAAAAATTCGCGTACGGTTTAGTGATGCAGTGTTAAATTAAAGAAACTTTTTGACTTTTAAAAAGAACTGTTTTCATAGTTAAAGTAGTTTGGATGCTCTACACACAAGGAACCCCGCCGACATCATCATTACTCTTCACCACATTATCCTCATCATCTTCATCAACATCACCACCATCACCATCTAATAAACATATGCCAGCTGGACACCTGGAGGACACAGATTACGTGGTGGTGAAGACGAGATCGGGTACGCCAGACGGCGGTAGAGCGCCCTCTGGCGGTGGCGGTGGTTTTTGGATGCCCGGAACCACCGCCGCCGCCTCTGGGTTATCCATAGACGGATGCAATGAAACGGGCTTCATCAACAGTCAGCCATCTATGGCGGAATTTATGACCGCGTTACCGCATCTTTCTGGGGAGATGCCCGGGGCTCATGGACCCCCCATGAGTCCCCAGCATACTCCACCGGGTAGTGCCGGCGCACCTAATTATCCAATGGACGTACCTCATGGACTCGGTTCACCAGGAGTCAACGTGCCGGAATATCCATGGATGAAGGAGAAGAAAACAACAAGAAAAAGCAGCCAACAAGGTAATGAGCTAGGTGAGAGTGAGGATTTGAGTGTTTTTGTGTATGTGAAGCGTTGATATCACCAATCTAGTAGTCAAAATATACGATATATAAATTGAAATCAAAAAAATTGAATCATAAAACGAAACAAGTGTAAGTGACCCTCGGGGTTGTTTTGAAAGAAAACCGTCTATCATCGTGAGGACTGGTTGAAAATCGGGTCGGAGAAGAAGTCGAGGAAACCGAAACAATACAATTGACATTCGAGCGCGGGGCGATGATGATTCTTCAAAAATTTTCGGCCGACTCATCATTGCGTTGCACATTTTTTGATTCCGGAGATCAATACCAACCCTTTTGTGTTTCAGTAGCTCGCGTGGTGATTCAATTAAGAGTCAGAAATTAATACTATTCTCCAAGTTTCAAAATTAAAAATCCTTCTAGAAATTTTTTTGTATCACTTATGATTGGATTTTTCAAAACTTTGAAAGTTATTTTTTCAATTAAATTTCGACCCATTAAGGGAAATTGAAAATCAAATGAATTTTCTTTTTTATCATAATTTTAATAAACGCGTTTTTGTGATCGGAGTTAAGGTTCTCTTCTTTCCCGTTTGTAGATGTGACCCCGAAATTGCAGCACGAAGATGTCGGTTAGGTCATCAATCAATCTCACGTCGGAGTCGGCGTTGGCATGAGACCACGCTCAATTGTAACTAAACTAAAAATAACAGACGCGAGAGCTGTATGGGAACAGTGTTTCCTTATTTTTCGGTTGGAAGAACGATTTTTTTCAACTATTTAACACATGCGCTCGAAAGAGAAGTTAAAAGTTTTCAAATCATCCAGATGAGGAACTTATTTATTTCTGAGGATTATCTCATTGCTAAACAATTCGTGGCATGTAAATTAAAAAATTATACACAATTTGCATGATGTGTGAACAATTAAAATGTTTTTTTTGTTTGTATTTTTTTTTTGATTAATACGCTGTACGTGACAAGAACCAATTTCGATCCCGGTTTTTGGATAAATACCAACTCGGCCGTTCTGTTTCTCTCAACGTTCGTGCAGAGTTCCGCCCACCCTGTTTCTCATGTCCGAAACTTACGTTCCTACTTATATTTCAAAAAATCGCATGTTCTTTGAACATAAAAACCGGGATAATAGAGATTATTGAGTCGAGCACGACCTTGTGTCTTTTATAAAATATTACATTGAGACTCACTACTAACAATAAGTAGCTTTATTTCATTGATTTCCAATTTTTTCAAACACCTCTACCAGTTTATCCGAAGGTATTAGACCGACTATTAGCCTAACACTCACCAATAAATAACCCCAGTGTTGGGTCCACACAGGGTGGCCAGTTAACAAATGATCCTGAGGTTATCAAGACGTCCTTCTCGGACATTAAGGGCATTAGGGGCATCCCGACGCCCTCTCTTTGGAACCGTAGTTGTGTCAGTGTTTGGGACCGCAGGGGGTGTGATGCGAGAGAAGATGAAGTGCGAATTCCCCACAATCCCCCCCAATGGAGAGTCGTCCATAACTCATGGAGAAACGGCGTCCCGCCGGGCGATCTCTCCACCGGGCTGTTTAACGTTTTGTTATGGGGGGTTACCCGAAACCTGTGGATTCGCAACCCCCCTTGAAATCGTGTGTATGTTGATCTTTCAGGACACCGTGGGGGGTTTGTCTCGTGCCAGAATTCGAACAATTCGTGAAATTAGGACTTGGTACACTGAAAATGAGAGAAATTCGTTGGGGATTTGTTATGAAGTCACTTGTAGACAGATTTAATTGAAGGGGTTAAACCCCGTGTGTAAATTTTCCGACCGCTTGAATTTGTCACGTCTGTAAACTCCGGATGATGTATGTGAACCATTTCGCACACGGGATATCATTTTACAAACACAAGTATTTTTTTTTTAATATCATTATGAATCTGTTAAGGAAATTTAAGAAACCTTTTAACCTTAATGTGATATATAAACCAATAAATCCTCCTTTTGAAACTAAAGCTACAATATCATGTATCATATAATCAAGTTTTATCATTAGTTTGAGGTATAAATAGCTTCATTACTCCGTCAAATAATCTCCAGGAATTTTTTTGAAATTTTAGTAATTAGTCTTAAAATTAAAAACCTTCAAAAAATCGTGTGAGATCTCCTTTTGAAATTGAAAATATGATATCATTACACATCATATAATAAGGTTCTAGCTTTAATTTGAGATATTCCACGTTCCATAATTTCCAGAGATGAATCCAAAGGAATTTTTTGAAATTTTAGTTATTAATCCTAAAAAATTAAGAACTAAATCATTCCATCTTCAAAAAAATCGTTTGAGATCTCCTTTTGAAATCGAAGATATGATATCATTACACATTACACAATGAGGTTCTAGCTTTAATTTGAGACATACCACGTTCCATAATTTCTAGAAATGAACCTAAAGGAATTTTTTTAAATTTTATCTTAATCCTAAAATTAAGAACCAAGTTATTTCAGCTTCAAAAAATCGTTTGAAAACTCCTTTTAAAATTGAAGACATGATATCATTACACATTACACAATGAGGTTCTAGCTTTAATTTGAGACATACCACGTTCCATAATTTCCAGCAATGAACCCAAAGAACTGTTTTGAAATTTTAACTTAATCTTAAAATTAAAAACCAAATTACTCTAGCTTTAAAAAATCGTTTGAGATCTCCTTTTGAAATTGAAGCTATGGTATACAATAAGGTTGTAGCTTTAATTTGAGATATTCCACGTTCCATAATTTCCAGAAATGAACCCAAAGGAATGTTTTGAAATTTTAGTGATTAATCCTAAAATTAAGAACTAAACCATTCCATCTTCAAAAAATCTTTTGAGATCTCCTTTTGAAATTGAAGCTATGATATCATTACACATTATACAATAAGGTTCTAGCTTTAATTTGAGACATACCACGTTTCATAACTTCCAGAAATGAACCTACAGGAATTTTTCGAAATTTTAGCTTAATCCTAAAATTAAGAACCAAATTATTTCAGCTTCAAAAAATCGTTTGAAAACTCCTTTTAAAATTGAAGATATGATATCATTACACATTATACAATAAGGTTCTAGCTTTAATTTGAGATATTCCACGTTCCATAATTTCCAGAAATTAACCCAAAGGAATTTTTTGAAATTTTAGTGATTAATCCTAAAATTAAGAACTAAATCATTCCATCTTCAAAAAATCGATTAAAATGTCCATTTGAAATTGAAGATATGATATCATTACACATTACACAATGAGGTTCTAGCTTTAATTTGAGACATACCACGTTTCATAATTTTCAGAAATGAACCCAATGGAATTTTTTGAAATTTTATCTTAATCCTAAAATTAAGAACCAAATTATTTCAGCTACAAAAAATCGTTCGAAAACTCCTTTTAAAATTGAAGATATGATATCATTATACATTATACAATAAGGTTCTAGCTTTAATTTGAGATATTCCACGTTCCATAATTTCCAGAAATGAACCCAAAGGAATTTTTTGAAATTTTAGTGATTAATCCTAAAATTAAGAACTAAATCGTTCCATCTTCAAAAAATCGATTGAGATCTCCTTTTGAAATTGAAGCTATGATATCATTACACATCATATAATAAGGTTCTAGCTTTCATTTGAGACATAGCACGTTCCATAATTTCTAGAAATGAACCCAAAGGAATTTTTTGAAATTTTAGTGATTATTCCTAAAATTAAGAACTAAATCATATCATCTTAAAAAAATCGATTGAAATGTCCTTTTGAAATTGAAGCTATGATATCATTACACATTATACAATGAGGTTCTAGCTTTAATTTGAGACATACCACGTTTCATAATTTTCAGAAATGAACCTAAAGGAATTTTTCGAAATTTTAGCTTAATCCTAAAATTAAGAACCAAATTATTCTAGCTTTAAAAAATCGTTTCAGATCTCCTTTTGGAATTGAAGATATGATATCATCACACATTATACAATAAGGTTCCAGCTTTAATTTGAGATATTCCAAGTTCCATAATTTCCAGAAATGAACCCAAAGGATTTTTTTGAAATTTTAGTGATTAATCCTAAAATTAAAAACTAAACCATTCCATCTTCAAAAAATCGTTTGAGACCTCCTTTTGAAATTGAAGCTATGATATCATTACACATCATATAATAAGTTTCTAGCTTTCATTTAAGACATAGCACGTTCCATAATTTCTAGAAATGAACCCAAAGGAATTTTTTGAAATTTTATCTTAATCCTAAAATTAAGAACCAAATTATTTCAGCTTCAAAAAATCGTTTGAAAACTCCTTTTAAAATTGAAGATATGATATCATTACACATTATACAATAAGGTTCTAGCTTTAATTTGAGATACTGCACGTTCCATAATTTCCAGAAATTAACCCAAAGGAATTTTTTGAAATTTTAGTGATTAATCCTAAAATTAAGAACTAAATCATATCATCTTAAAAAAATCGATTGAGATCTCCTTTTGAAATTGAAGATATGATATCATTACACATTATACAATGAGGTTCTAGCTTTAATTTGAGACATACCACGTTTCATAATTTTCAGAAATGAACCTAAAGGAATTTTGCGAAATTTTAGCTTAATCCTAAAATTAAGAACCAAATTATTCTAGCTTTAAAAAATCGTTTCAGATCTCCTTTTGGAATTGAAGATATGATATCATCACACATTATACAATAAGGTTCCAGCTTTAATTTGAGATATTCCACGTTCCATAATTTCCAGAAATAAACCCAAAGGAATTTTTTGAAATTTTATCTTAATCCTAAAATTAAGAACCAAATTATTTCAGCTTCAAAAAATCGTTTTTGAACTGTTTTTAAAATTGAAGATATGATATCATTACACATTATACAATGAGGTTCTAGCTTTAATTTGAGACATACCACATTCCATAATTTCTAGAAATGAACCCAAAAGAATTTTTTGAAATTTTATCTTAATCCTAAAATAAAGAAC